AAATAGGACTTTGAGGTTCGATTCTGGTCAAGGGCATGTACCTGAGTTGCCGGCACATCCCCAGTAGAAGATGTGCAGGAGGCGGCTGATTGATGTTTCTCTCTCATCGATGTTTCTAACTCTCTATCTCTCTCCCTTCCTCTCTGTAAAGAATCATATTTAAAATAAAATAAAATAAAATAAAGAAGTCGGCCTACCCTATTGCTTATTGCCACAGCTAGTCAAGGTTAAAGTTGATATAAATAAAACTTTGTATAAGGCCTTGAGCCAGGCTTGTTCAAGAGGTAACTCCTGTCTTATGAAATGTCCTATTGCAATTTTTTCATGATAATAAGAACTAAGAATAGAAATGTGCCTTTCTTGTGGTTCTTTCCTGTTAGAAACGTTAAAATAATTTAGAAGTAAGGGAATAAAGAATGCAGAATTCATTCATTGTTCAATTTGTTGCATGGCCTAAGAAAGGGTATAACACATTCCCACACATCAAGAGAAGAAATTTATTTTGTTCTAGTGTAAAAAAGAAAGGATCAATCACTGTCAACATCACCAAAAAGATGTACCATTTCCATAATTCAGAGTATAACCAAAGCACAGGGGCATACAAAAATAATATCCAAAATTCTGAGGATTGTGGCTTCAAAATGAAGTATTTAATAGATACCTTCAGTTGTAATGGTCAGTAAAACGGAAGGATTTGGCTTCGGACATATATGGCTGAAACTGTTTGGAACGCTTTGCTTCCAGTCGGAACTGTCTAGTCCTTTCCTTGACAGCTTGTTGCTCCACTAGTTTTTCCACCCGCTTCCTTCGTAGCCACCTGCAGGAACAGACATGATCAGGTCTGGTGTCAACCAGCATGTATGCTTCATGCTATAAAGTTACTGCTATAGCCAATTAAAAGAAACTGAATGTCTTTACACTGAAACGCTGTAGTCACAACACAAAAGTATTAACTGAAAAATTTCAGGCTTATGCCCTAGGCCCACACAAGAAAACATAGTTATATCTGGTATTGAATGTTTGAATTAAGTTTGTCTTACAATGAAATTGCAAACATAACATTTTTTAGTAATAAACAGTTTTATATGTGATATGGGTCCTATCCTTTTTTAAAAATATGGCTTTATACATAAATAAGTATGTGATAGATTCCAAATAACTCATTTTTTATAACTAGTTGCATGCTAAAACCTTACTTAACCAGGCTGAGAATCCCAGCATGCATCAATGTTGCATTGCTTTTCTTGGTAGAAAATTACAGAGCTCTTGATTTTCATTGCATAAACTAGTTTTTCCTTAAAGCAGAAAAATAAGCCTGAGCATAAAAAACATCAAAAAATGGAGAGTTCACATTCTAACAAATTTAAGTCTATAAATCTTGCTTAGGTAAAATAACATAAAAAATAATTATAGCCGAAACTGGTTTGGCTCAGTGGATAGAGCGTCAGCCTGCGGACTGAAAGGTCCCAGGTTCGATTCCGGTCAAAGGCATGTACCTGGGTTGCGGGCACATCCCCAGTGGGAGATGTGCAGGAGGCGGCTGATCAATGTTTCTCTCTCATCGATGTTTCTAACTCTCTATCTCTCTCCCTTCCTCTCTGTAAAAAAATCAATAAAATATATTTAAAAAAAAATTGTATATACACATATCTAGTATGTAAGTATGTATGTGGTGTGTGTGTGTGTGTGTGTGTGTGTGTGTGTGATATTTTAAAGAAATAAATCTAAACTTTAAAATTGTATTAGAAAAAGGCACTTAAGAAAAAAAAAAGAAAAAAAGAAACATCATAACCCAATGCAGTGTGGTCCTGAACTGGATACTAGTTTGAGCAAATTAAACTGTAGCCATTTGGGGGGCCACCTGGGAAAAAATGGCTACGGGCTGGAGGTAGATGAGATCATTAATGAAAATAAGCCAATTGAGAACAGTTTGTAAGTATGATCTCAATTTCTATTTTTAAATTATAAATACAGAGAAATATCTAGAATATATGCACTAAGGTCCTAGCAATAGTGATTTCTGAGTGATGAGAATGCGAAGTTTTCCCCCTCCATTTCCACAATGAATATTTACTGCTTCTATTATAAAGGGTTATATATTTTTTAAAAAGGAAGAGAGAGAGACAAAGAAAAAAAGAGAAATATATAAAAAACAAAACCAGAAATGAAAGTAACTTCAAACAACAGGACTCCCACAGGCTTGCTGGCAGAATTATAAGCCAGGTGTGTTTCCTCAGAACCAGCCAGGTAATGCAGGGTCTTACCCAGATACTGAAGAGAGATCAGGATTGCCTTGAGCCACCAACATATGTACCCAAATCACCTCTCATTTGGTCTCCTCAGTCTGACTGCCTTTCTTTACAGAAAAATAGTTCTAGGTAAATGTAACTATTCAGTTTTTCTGAGGACTAGGTAGGAGAAGCTGTAAGCAATCTTTGGCCCATTCCTCTAAGAAATGAACAAACAGATGGATATATGAATGAATGGTGGGCTCTCAAAGGCTACCACACTGGTGCCATAAGAAACAACTTTAGTGTTGAAAACTATCTTAAAAGAATGGTATCAATGTTGTGCCAAGTGTGGAATCAAAGAATCTCACACATTTATTAAAGTGGATTTAAAAGTGAATAGGATGCAATGTCAAAGATCCAATATTTGGCTTATTTTTTTCCCCAAGCTTTATCCATATATAACTTCCTAAAATGACCGTGAGGGAGGGGCGCGTTCTGCCTGTGACTTACTGTTTAAAGGCCCGTTCACGGCCTTCTGTCCCCTGGAGGAAGAACAAGCATTCCTCCTGCTTTCGAAGTTCTTCTGTCTTTTTTTCTTTCAGCTGCTCTTCGTGCTTCTTTTTAAGCCATAATCGAAAAGCTTGTTGTGGGTCTCTGTTTTCCTGCTAGTTACGAAAACAAGCTTTGCTTAATTTGAATAAACCACAACTACACTCTGAGACCCTGCCTACAGGACCCTACAAGAATAGGTCCCACTCAAATTTTTCATAGTAATGCCAACCCATGACCTGCACTCCTCATATCCAAACCAAACATACCACATTTGAATCAGCAACAATGACTCCCCCCGTCAGAAAATTCCACACTGAATTCACTGCCATGTGGCTTCTTTCAAAAGTCTTAGTGAGCATGGCCCTCCCATGTTTATTGCAGCATCATTTACAACAGCCAACCTGGAAACAACCTAAGCTGTGATAGGTGAAGGGTTAAAAAAGATGTGACATTTATGTACAATGGTGTACTACTCAGTCATAAAAAAAGATGACATATTGCCATTTATGACAACATGGATGGATCTCAAATGTACTATGCTAAGTGCAATAAGTCAGATGGAAAGGGACAAAAAACCGTGATTTCACTCATTTTTATGGGGAATATAAAACAAAAAAGAAACAAATGAACAAACAAAACAAAATAAAAACAATGTCAGGTACAGAAAATATATAGATGGTAACAGAGGGGAAGGCAGTGGGGAGAGAGCAAAATGGGTGAAGGGGTCAATTGTGTGGTGATAACTGGTGAGCACACTACAGTGTACACAGACATGGAATTATCATCCTGCATACCTGAAACTTATAAAATGTTATTAACCAATGTTCTCTCAATAAAAAATACATGCATACATAGAAGAAAAGAAAACAATACAGTATAACAGCTATTTGCATATCATTTACATTCTATTAGGTATTATAAGTAACCTAGAGATGATTTAAAGTGTACGAGAGGCTGGCCGGTTTTTGGCTCAGTGGACAGAGCGTCGGCCTGCGGACTGAAGGGTCCCAGGTTTGATTCCGGTCAAGGGCATGTACCTTGGTTGCAGGCACATACCCAGTAGGGAGTGTGCAGGAGGCAGCTGATCGATGTTTCTAATTCTCTGTCCCTCTCCCTTCCTCTCTGTAAAAAATCAATAAAATACATTTTAAAAAAATAAAGTGTACAAGAGGATTATGTAGGTTATATGCGAATACTACACCCTTTATATAAGGACCTTGAGCATCCAGGGATTTTGGTATCGCAGAGGGACCCAGGGATCAATCCCACACAGGTACTGGGGGACGACTGTCATCAATAAATGAAGGTCTAAACCCCCTGTTTAAAAAGTTTGAGGATCCCTGGTCTAAACATAGCGACTTGCAAACTTTGCAAAGTTGAGCCCTTTGACAAGAAAAAATAATTTTGCACAAACAAATAAAACAGTTGGAGAAAGGCAGTGTGAGCAGAGTTGAGGTCTTTGTAGCAATCTGAAGAATGTCCGTGGAATAGAGTCTGAAAACCAAAGATCCAACACTTACGTTATTCAGCCTTTCTTTAGATGCTAACTTTGGGGTTCAGACCCCAGAGTTGTCAGTGGGAACCCCCCATAGCTGAGCTATCCCTCCGGAACTTCTGCTGCCCGGCGGGCAACCTCCAGGCGATTCTGACTTCCTACCAGTCTGTATGTGGTCTCCACCTTACATCCTTGGTTATCAGGGCTCTCTCCAGCTGGTCTTCATTTGATTTTTCAGGATGGTTTTTCTACATTTTAGTTGTAATTCCAGTTTGGTCCTGGGAGAGTGTCAGTGTAGCTTTCACTTCATCTGCCGCCACCATGGAACTTCACGAGATCCCAGCTTTGACTTTTAGCTTTGAGAGCATCTAGCTGCCCAGCCCACCTCCAAAGCTGTAACTCCTCTTTTGGAGAGTGGCTTTAGCATTTGCAGCCGTAGAATGTCTCATAAGGGTAACAGCCATGAAGCTCTGTCATAAGCAGCAGCTAGTGGAGTAGCCCATTGTGTTGAAAAAACTTATTTGGGAGAATAAAGAGAGCAAAGGGACAGATCTGGGGCCTTGGGATGGATGCCTGGCTAGAACACTCACTTAATACTTCCCCCAAATATGAGCCCGTGATGGAGAAGACCTTCTCCTACACCTTGCATTTTCCTTTACTTGCAATCCACATGGCAAAGCATGCTGGTCTCAGTTATGAAATGCATGTGACCTAGGGTACGACGCTGAACCTGGTGAAGAGGACGCATGGACCTAAAGGATACCGCTGAACACCTAGAAATCGCAGAGAGGCTGCAGATGACAGGTGGGAGAATAAAGAGAGCAAAGGGACAGATCTGGGGCCTTGGGATGGATGCCTGGCTAGAACACTCACTTAATACTTCCCCCAAATATGAGCCCGTGATGGAGAAGACCTTCTCCTACACCTTGCATTTTCCTTTACCTGTGATCCACATGGCAAAGCATGCTGGTCTCAGTTATGAAATGCATGTGACCTAGGGTCTTCCGGGTACGACGCCGAACCTGGTGAAGAGGACTCATGGACCTAAAGGGTACCGCTGAACACCTAGAAATCGCAGAGTGGCTGCGGGTGACAGAAAGTGTTCATCTGGAATTACAGACCAGAAGAGTCAGGAATTCAGGAACCAACAGGATTGATGGGTATCTCTGCCCATTTACTCATTCAATGGATATTTACAGAGTATCTATTATATAGACTATCTACAGGCACAGGAGTACTCGGTCACATCAATGAAAAAACCAGGTCAGCTCTCCCATACCTCCTAGGCCGATACTGTACAACGCAGTAGCCGCTAGTCGCATGTGGCTACAGACAGAGAAAATTACACGCTCAGTATCTTGGTCACATTAGCTCCATTTCCAGGGCTTCACAGCCACACTGTGGCTTGACCGCCAGCACAGGTGCAGGGCGTTTCCATCAGCTCAGAAAGCCACACCGGGGAGTGTTGTTCTAGACGAGCAGATAAGAATAGATGATTGATTGACTGACTGGTATGTCAGATGCAAAGAAAAGTGTGGTAAGGAGAGAAACTAATAATGGGAAGGTGAGGAGAAAGGAGGGTATTTAGAGAGAAAGTGAGGGAGCGAGTTTGGAGACATCTGGACAGAGTCTTCCAAGCACTGGTAACACAGCAAAGGACCTGACAAGGGGCTGTTTTGCATGTTCAATAAAAAGCAAAGTCAAAATGAAGCTGTCGCAAAGGGCTGGCAAGTGGAAGGAGGACATCTGGACAGAGTCTTCCAAGCACTGGTAACACAGCAAAGGACGTGACAAGGGGCTGTGTTTTGCACGTTCAATAAAAAGCAAAGTCAAAATCAAGCTGTCGCAAAGGGCTGGCAAGTGGAAGGAGACGAAGTCAGAATAACAGGGATCCGACAGTGTCCAACCTTGTAGGCGGTGGTAGGCACTTGGGACTTTATTTGGAGATGAGGAGCCATTGGAGGTTTCTGAGCCTCCCTGATGCAATCTACTCCGCATTCAGAGGCTCACCCTGGCCGCTGTGCTGGGGACGGAATGGAGTTGGGGGCAAGGTGGAAGAAGGAGGAGCAGTTACCAGGCTTTTGCAGCGGGTCAGGCAACATGCCGTGGTGGTTTAGATGAAGACGGTGGGACTCGGGATGTAAGTTGAAGATAGAATAGACAAAATGTTCTCCTAGACTGAATGTAGGGTTTTATATTGTGCTTTACTAGATTATGTTTTAATATTTCCAGCATTTTTAAAATATTTTTATAAATATAACCATATAAAACCAAACATTTCTGCATTACAAAACCAAAAAATGAAAAACCAAAGGGAAAAAGTAATGCAGTAGATTTCTCAAAGAATATTTCCTAACAGAAAAGTTGACAAAGAATTTTTCTATGAAAAGAATATCCAAACAGCTCAGAGGTGATCAGTCTTGCTGAAAATAACACTGCAATGCAACAACATTTTCTACCTATCATGTTGGTAAAAATAAAAACACTTGAAAGCACACTTCTTAATGCAGGTGTAGGGGTATTTTGTGTGTGCACCCCATCTTTGCCCTATTTGAATATAAAAGTTACACTGTCTAAAAAAATTGGTAGCTTTCCCTATTTGGTGCTATGACAGTTTAAATGAAATAGGAGTCACTGGATTTTTGCAAGGCTTCTTAGGATGCGCCTGATGCATCTTTTGCGAGGGTGGTTCCTGGACAAGTCTCTCTACTTCTCGCAGATGTTCTTAGTCTGACATTCTGATGCCCTTCCGTAAACAAATCACACCTCCATCTCTGTATGAAATTAATTTTTATAGAAGTTTTACTTACTCTACTGCTCATGTCTTCAATTTCCTTTGCTCGCTGAATTCTCCTCATTTCTACAACCTGCTCTCTTTTCTTTTGCAACCACGCTTTAAATACTATGTCGTTCTCCTTTTTCTTTTCTTTCTCTTCTTCTATTTTCCGTAGTTCTTCCTGGTGGAAAGAACATCAAAAGGCATTAATAAAAGATTTAAAAATCATAGGTGAGTCCTTAGAGTAGAGAGAGATATTTTGAGATCTGAAGTTAGAATTCCCTGCCTCTAAAACTTTCCATCGAAAAGCTAGGTGTTCTTTAAAAAAATAAAAAAATAATAATAATAATAATGCCTCTAATTTGCTTAGGAAGAGAATAAAGATTTTTTTAAGATAAATCAAACTGTAGAGACAAAGGCTACAATTATATGGGTGTATAATACATACTGTCCAGGAATTCCTTGAATCTCTCCTCCACTTCCTACTTTAATTTTGGTCTTAAATGCAGCTAAGCCACAGAAGCACTGCATGATGTCCGTAAAAGCAGAAAGATGTTCTAAATGCTTTTCTATTATTGTTACATTTGTTAATTGTAATAAATGGCATTGTGGTTGCAAAAGAAAAGGCTGCAGTCACTTAGAGATGTACTTTGAAGGGTGTAAGTGAGCCACCATGTGCTTGCTGTCTAGGACCTGCTCTGAAAATTCCTTAGCCCACGAAGGAGGTGAAGCAAATACGCCAAAATCTCAGCGATTTCTGAATCCGGATGAGAACAGAGGGTTAGTTGCACCTTTAGATATGTTTGGAATTTTTATTATTATGTTTAAACATATTTTCAGCTAGCATATATTCATAAATTAACACTTTGCTATCAGGAAAAATGTTTAGATAATTAGTTAAATGCAAGAACAAAATGAATTTTTAAATCTGAATTATCCAGCTAACATTCTAAAAGGGAGTGACTTAAACCTGAAGGGAGGTACTTCATGGACCCAGTTACAGACAGCGATGAAGCATCGCGTGGGAGCCGCGCCGCGCGGTGGTGGGAACAGCAGCGAGCTGGACCTGAGGGCACTCACCCTGCTGCGTACGCACTGTTCTCACCTCTAACACGAGCTGCCTTCACAGGTCTCCAGTCTCTCCCAACACTAAAGTCATCACTGAAATAAATAGACACTGTCTATTTATATGAACGACACAATCCCTGCTTACATTTTCTCAAAGAATGGAATTCAGAATCCTTTCCTTACGCTTTGACAACAGAGAAAGTCCTTCTAATTACTTTGGATGGAACACAATATAGGAAGGAAAGACAAAATTCTACCCTTAACAGCATAAAATACCTTTTAACATGCCTGTCTACTATTTTCTAAACCCTAATGGAGCTTACATTATATATAGTTCCTTTTTACGAAAAGAAAAAAAAAGAACATTGGGATGCCTTGCATGGACACGGACAGTATGGTAGGACGATTATCTTTCCAGAAGGAACCTTTAGACACTTACACAGACAACATCAGCCAGAGCCCAGCTAACAGAGCTGCCAGGGAGAACGGGGAAATGGCTCCCTTAGCAGAGAGCCAGAGTACAGCAGCCAGCCCAGCAATATTTTGTCGGGCATAAAAAGTAAAGCTGTGAAAGAAGCTAAATAATATTTTTAAACCCTTAGATTATAAAGCCCATGCCTTCAGCAAGTACGAGGGAAGGGGAACAGCTATTCGGATCTTTGACATGAGGAAACAACAGTGTGTGACGCCCAGAGAAGAGGATCAAATGCAAACAGAACAATCTACCAGCCACACCAGTCACAGTTACCCTTAGTTCACTGGTGAGAGATACTGAAATGGTGTAAAACCTCCTCCATCACTTTCACAGAAATACGCCCACACATATGCATGGCTGTGTGCGTCCAGTTACTCTCAACAGATACATTTTTTTAATTGTCATAAACTTAACAGAGCCTTTAAGTCAGTGGTTCTCAACCTTCTGGCCCTTTAAATACAGTTCCTCATGTTGTGACCCAACCATAAAATTATTTTCGTTGCTACTTCATAACTGTAATGTTGCTACTGTTATGAATCGTAATGTAAATATCTGATATGCAGGATGGTATTAGGCGACCCCTGTGAAAGGGTCGTTCGACCGCCAAAGGGTCGCGACCCACAGGTAGAGAACCGCTGCTTTAAGTATTGTTATGTATCTGATCCAAGTAAGCGGAACCTGACTGTTAGAGTTTAGATACCAGTGGCCGAGCCAGAAAACACTGAGTCTGCAGCCTTTCAGACTCCGGCCTGAGTGGGCTATGGGCTCCATGTTCTTGCTGACTCTGTTTTTCACTTTTTCTGAGAATGTGAGTTCCTGATAAATGCAGAGATTCCCCTGGTAGTTTCCTGCCTAAATGGAAAATATACTATTTCTCAATGAATGCCAAGAAAACTGGGATTTTTTACTCCAACTTTGCTACAAACAAGTTGAATGTCTTTGGTAAAGTTACTTAAACTTTCTACACTATAGTTTTCTGATCTGCAACATGATCTTTAAGCTTTCCTCTAACTGTAACATCCTATTAGCCCATGATTCTGCTGAGGTTTGGTATTTACAGTTAAACATTTTGTGTGGTTCAGCTTAACACCATTAGTTATCCAGTAAAACAGAATTTGGGGCATTCAAGTCATTTCAAGAAAACGTACCAGTTTTGGCACCTAGAGTGTTCAATTATAAAATACTTTTATTTTAAGAGCAAAAAAATACCCCAAAATAATAATTTTGGATTCCATAAGGCATTCTGGAGATATTTCACTAAGGTTATTAGTTCTATTCTTAATTTGACTAAAATCCCTGAACTCAAGGGATTATAGGCATACACAATACATGACACACACACACACCACAGAATTATAATCCAATTCTACCTGTTGCCTCCTAAACCCCAGCACAGCTTGCCTGCACGTTCCCACCTGACATTAGATTCTCACCCGTCTCACATCCAGGTTCCTTTCAGCAGTCACCTGACTTCTCTGAGCCTCACCTTTACAATGAAAGGATCAGATGAAGTCCCCACTGAGCTCGACCCCCGATCCAACCCAGGTGTTCTTTACTGGGCTTTGGGAGCCTTACACCAAGGACCAAGGTAGTCATGGAGCTCATCCCGTCCATACACATCCTGAACACTCAACCCTTCATCTTCCGACAGGAAAACAAAGCAACCAGGCAAATACGCCCCATACTTGGAAGAAATACTTTGGTGAAGGACTGTTTCCATTGCTGCTGCACCTGTAAAATATGAAAACAGATTCTCCTCTCCACCTGGTGCCCATGCGCTCTCACCTCCCTCTTCAGCTTCTCTCTCCTCTGTTCCAGCCGCTTTTGCAGTTCCTTCTGTCGCGGAGAAAGACAATACGTGGAGGTCACTGGAGATACATTGGCAGACTGTATCCTGTGATTAGACTTCCCGTTCCCCTTACTGGGCTCTGAGTTGGCAGCGGAGCTTGGCCGAGCCTTGGGGTTGGGCGGCGGTTGAGGGGGGAAAGCCGTGGGCTCCTCTGTGGATGAGCCCTGGATCTTGGCTGCAGGCTCTTCCTTCTTGACACCACTGACAGCTGAGCTGGAGGACCTGGCTGATGACTGCTGAGCATCATGTTCTGAACTGTTGACATTGCTAATGGGGGGCAAGAACCCCTGACTCTCAATGTCTTGCAGATTCATAAGTTCAAACTTCCCGTCTCTCTCGACCAGTACCTTCCTGTCCTTGTTCTCTTCACAGCTCCCGCCAGGGAGCGACAGGAGCACACCTTCCTGTCCAAGTTCATTGGAAATATGTAACTGCGACAGTTTCCCAGACACATTACTCTCATTTTCAAAACAACATTTGTAG